GTTTATGTTTAGCTCTCCCATCAAGAGTGAGGGATGTCTTTCCACGTGTCCAACTCAATTTTTGTGTCTTTAGAGATGGACAATTTCATTGTACAGGTCTGCACATTTCTTATTAAATCTGTTGCTAAGCAATCTCCTATGCTGCTATCGTAAATGGACTTTTTCTCTATGACATACAGAAACGCTGGTTTTTGTCTTGATTTTATTTCCACCTCCTTCACTGAGTTAGCGTCATCATAGCTCTCCAGGGCATCCAGACTGGTCATCATCACGTCCTCTGCAGAGATCTTCCTTGGTATGGGTTGTGCCCTTGTCTATGTCAGCGAGGACCTCTACTGGTGCCAAAGAGGAGAGGTGGGCACTCTTGCCTGACCTAAACTTAGAAGAAACGCAGCCAGTCTCTTCACAAAGTGAGGCACGGGCTTCAGGACTCAAGGATGTATATATTCCATGTCAGGAGGGTACGCTAGCTGTGAGTGGTTGCGCAGGCCTGTGATCCCAGCACTTGGGAAGCAGAGGCAGGAGGACTGCCATGGATTTGACGTCAGCCTGTACTAAATGGTGAGCTCAAAGCTAACCTGAACTACCCAGTGAGACCCTGGTCAAAAAAAAAATAGTGTATCCAACAAGTGGCTAAAGGCAAGCACAGACTCTTTTGTACTTTCTTCTCCGAAAATGATTTTGTGGATATTCTGAATTCTTAATTTTGTTACTTTAAAGGAAGTTTTACCATGTGTGGTGGTACAGCCTATCATCCCAGCACTTGGGACAATGAGGCAGGGGGATGGCCATGGGTTCAAGGCCACCCTGGGCTACAAAGTGAGTTCAAGGCCAGCCTGAACTGCAGAGTGAAATCCTGTCTCAAAAAGACAAAGAAAGAGCAAGGTGTGGTGGCACATGCCTGTAATCCCAGCGCTTGGGCAGCTGAGGCAAGAGGATTGCTGCAAGTTCAGGACCAGCCTGGGCTACAGACTAAGCTCAAGGCCGGCCTGAACTGCACAGTGAGACCCTGTCTCAAAACACAAAAACAACACAGACAGACCAGGGCAGCGTCAGTCTCGTGAGCTGCGTGGACAGCCACAGGTGCCAAGGCCGTGGGAACAAGTGTAGACGTTTGTGATGCTGTCTGCGGCCCCGGCCCTCTGCCTGTGGAGCAGAGGCCCAGCTCTGGGACCCGGGTAGCTTCATTATTTGAGTTATTTCACTTCCTTGCCACGGAACTGGAACCAGCAAAACCTAATACCAAATGTGGGGCCTGCAATTTTCTGCTTCAAAAATTGGCAAAGCTCATTCCTAAGACTCAAGCGCCTCTGCTTCCATTTCATGGGGAAAAGACGGGCTTGAAACCGCGTTTTAACTCAGCAGCTGTCCACAGGGAAATCAGTCTTTCCAGACCTCAGCCTCCCACCACCTCCCACTGCCCAAGGGCCCTGTCCCCTCCAGGAGGGCCACCACAGGCAGCTCGGGGGAGGCATCCTCACCAAATTCAACGTGGGGAAGCTATAAACAAAAGTGCTGACGGGGAAGGGGACACACAGAGAACCAAGCTGTGCTACGTGCACGGCAATTCCCCATGATGAATGCAATCATTACGTTTCACAAACATAGACTAATAAACATTTTCACGTCTATTAATGTAGTGACTGATTGATTATGTCAACTTGAGAAGTTCAGAAGCTGAACTAAACTTGGCTCAGCAATTCTACACCCTAGGTGGTAGAGGAGCCACCCTAGGGTGGATCATCACCTAGATAATATAAAAGGGAAATGAGGAAGGACAGAGGAACTTCCATTCCTTTTGGGGGAGCTCCAGTCTTCACCTTCAGCTTGGACTTCGTCTCCTGGCTTCTAGGGCAGACTCTTCGGCTTCCGCCTTGGATCCTTCAGCCTTCCGTCGCAGACTCATCGGCCTCCTGGTACGGACTTGCACGGAGCTCTGCAGTGAACTTCAGACCCTGGACTGATTCCTTCGGTCTTCAGTGTGCAGACACCCTCTGCACACTTCCCCATACAGCTCTCTGGCTGATCGTCATAAGCCAATCTTGTAATTTCTTGCACATTTGTACATCTTGCGTTGTATCTGTTTCTCCAGTAAAACCCTGACTGATACAATTAATCACATAGCTGGACATGGCGCCACATGCCTCTGATCCCGGCACTGGGGAGGCTGAGGCAGGAGGATCAACCCAAGTTCAAAGCCAGCCTGGAATAGGGAGATCAAAATACAAATCTATCCATCACAACTAATAAATGGTTCACACAAAAACTAAGCAGCAGACCCAGTTCTTCCTGTGCTCACAGAACCCTCCGGCCAGCACACACAGAGCACACACTCACCCAATAAACACACAACTACTGTGCCGTGTTTTGAGCGTGAAATAAACCCCACCAGCCCAGGAGGAGCATGGTCAGCGAAGTGCGCTGAGACCACGAAGCAGGCAAAACCAGCAGCCGGCTCACAAGTCTGGGGGAAGTCTCACACGAGCAGATGTTAGCCACCCCTGCACACACCACGGGTCAGAGAAGCCACAGAGGAAGCCAGACAGGAGGCGGTGCATGCCAGCGTTTGTGGGATGCAGGTAAGCGCGGCCCCAGGAAGGGACCAGGAAGCTCTCTTCCGGCCAGCATCCTCCTGGCCGGCCTGCTCGCACTGACCACTCAGCAGGCTGCTTGACCGTCCTCGTGACCTTGAAGCTGGCTTTGTTTGAGGTCAGAAATCCACACACGGGTGACTTGCTGAGATCAAGTTCAGGTCCAGATGCTAGGCAGCGCCATGCGCCAGTCCCCAACTCCCACTTTGTGCCTTTGCAATAAACTATAATTACTCATGCTGCAGACCTCGCAAGCGGCCTACAGAACATCACAATCTAATTTCACATCCTGCACTCAGGGCCTGAGCTCACAAGGAACACACGTGCACATCCGCAGGCCAGCAACTCCTGCTACGTCATCAGGTCGGCCTCCCTAGCCACCAGCTCCGCATTCAGATTCAGGCAACGCGGATCACAACGGTGGGGGCTGTAACGAAGTCTTCCTATTGTTCCCCGAGTGATACAGTGTAACAGCCACTTACACTCACACAGAATCTAGAGAGGATTCAAGGCACACAGCATGTGCGGGGGTTAGATGCAAATGTGCCATTTTCTAGACCTTGTGCATCCAGACTTTGGAATCTGGGGGCAGAGAGGATGCTGGGAGCAAGCTCCCCTGGACTCCTATGGACAACTGTATGCACTCAGCAGAAACACATGTCCCAGTGACAGGTACCACGATGTTCATGACCATGCTAGTTTAGATCTGGGGCGTCCCCAAAGCCTCATGTGTTTGGAAGATGCTGTAGTTCAGGGTTTACAAGGGGAAACAATTTAAGACAGGACTCATGGTTTATAGAATTATTTATAATAGTCACCCAAAGAGCCATACACAGAGTGCAGGAAATCTGTCCACACACTAAACACCAAAGAATCCAGCTGAGGGCCTGGATCCCACGGCAATGTCCTACACGAGTCCAGCTGAAACCCTAGCGCCCACAACCATGTCTCATACAGGCCTGTTCCATGGATCTGCGCTGGGAAGGCTGTTATGATCGGGTTCTGGACCTCCTCCTAAAGCCCCATGCAGTCAGGCGGCAGGCCTCTGGAGTCTGTGATTGACTCATGGGTGTGAGTGCCACACCCGCCCTGGGGCTGGTAGTTTGCCTATGTAAGGGAGGGAAAGAGGCTGCTTGCTGCCACTCCTCCCTTTTGCTCTTGCTGCTTTTGCTGTTTTCTGCAGCCATGAGCTGTTGCACTCTGCAATGTGCCACCCTGCCTTGGAGCCAGCTGAATATGGACTGAAACCTCCACAGACTGTGAGCTAAACAAACCTTTCCTTCCTTAATTCTTAGTATCAGGTATTTTGTCCCAGCAACAACTAAGACAAAGGCCCAAAGCTCAGTGGTGAAAGCTAGAAAAGTCTGTGCCAGCAGGATAAAGGATCTGTATCAGCAGATTGAGGGATCTTCACTGGAGCCAGGAAGCAATGCTCTAAGTAAGAACCAGAGCTCCCTTGGAAAGTACCACAGCCATCCTCCGAAACAGTGAGGTCCCGAGCTCATTCAATGGCAGAAACAGCTGAGTTCCCATCAGAAAACCCAACACAACAAGCTTCTCCAGGAGACTGAGCAGTGAACCATCTTCCCCGCCAGAGCCAGGAAGCTATGCTCAAAGTGAGGACCAGAGCTCCCTCAAAAGTGAACCGTAGCCATCCTCAGGAGAGTAAGGTTCCGAGCTCCTCTGACCATGAGAACTGCCAAGTTCATCAGGAAAGCCAGCATGATGCCGGCCGTGGTGGTGCATGCCTGTAACCCCAGCACTCAGGAGGCTGAGGCAGGAAGATGGTTTTGAGTTGAGACCAGTCTGGGCTACAAAGTGAGCTCGAAGCCAGCCTCAACTGCGTAGCAAGACTGTCTCAACAAGACATAAAAAAAGGGAAAGCCAGCATGATAAGCTCCTCCAGCAGAACCAACAGCTCCCTACAGCTTCCTTAACAGCTTCTCTTCTCCAGTTCAGCCTCTTATGCTGCCCTCAACAATCCTCAGGTGGGCTCCCACACCCAGCACCGCGCTGGTTCAGTTCAGCTGGGCATTACACGCTGACCACCAGTTGTCAGTCCTCCACAGGTGACTGATCCCGGGGTGCTATGCTCATCAGTAGGTGAACGCGCCGAGTTCAGCAGCCAGGTGTGCTGCAAGGAGGCAAGGCGTAGCCAGAAGAGGCGGTCACGAGGCGTCACCTGGAAAGGTCTTGCTTCTTTCCTGGCTCCTCCCTTGTTTCCTGACCACTGTGCCATGGGCCGCTCTCCTCTAAGCCAGACCCTCCCCTGCTGGGTCTGCAAGCCAAAGCAAACTTCCTGTTATGCGCTTGAGTTTTTTTTGTTTTTTTTTTTTTGTCTTTTTTTGAGACAGGGTCTCCCTATGCAGTTCAGGCTGGCCTTGAGCTCACTTTGTAACCCAGGCTGGTCTCAAACTCGGAAACATCCTCCTGCCTCAGCCTCCCCAGTGCTGGGATTACTGGTGTGTGCCACCACACCTGGCATGCACTTGAGTGTATCGTCTCCCAGCCATGTGAAGTGACTAAGCTGATGGCAGCCTGTTCCCACTGGCTGAAATCGGGAAGCTATGCCAACGCCCACAGACAGGATATACAGTGCAACAGCCACACGACCGGACGGTTAGTGCAGCAGAAGAGGGCACGCTCCCGGGCCAACACCGTGAGCGAGTCTCAGAGGGCTGAGCAAGCAGCCAAAACCCAGAAGGAAAAGTGGGGTCAGTTCCTGGGAGGGAGCACGGGCGTCTTCAGCAGGCGGTGCCGCTGCCGCACACGCGCATCCCACGAGTGCTTCCCAGTTACACGCAACACTGCGACCATAGCACAGCACGGAGCTCCGAGAACTAAGTGCGACAGCCAGACGTCTTGTCATCAGTGCAAGACCTAGGACCAAGTCCAAGGAATGTCCCCAAAAGGAAAATACTCAGAAACCAAAACGGACCAGAAAACAGGCATCTAAACGAGATAAAGATTTAAGGGGATAAGCAGGCGGAACCTCCGAGAGGTGGACGCGGAAACCGGCGAATGAGGAACTGTTCTGGCCCAGTCTGTGGGGCAGCGGCTCTGATACTGGTGCAGCCACACGAGACTGAGGAAAGGAGGGAAGTGGGGTGATGCATGAGCGTGGGGAGGGGCGTGCTTTAAACACAAGACAGGTGGGGCTCGGGCTGACATACTGGGAAACAGAACCCTGGGACACGGGGCTATCGGCATGTGGAGGGCCGTGAGCAGGAGCAAAGCCCGCGGTCCGCTCCAGGACTAGGGGCTCCACAGGATGGCGAGAGCTGGGCAGGAAGCCACGCCTGACTCTGGAGCCAGAGGCGCCCGCCGCAGGAGCACCAAGGGAGGGCAGCCGAGAAGGTGCAAGACCCCCTCCTCACTCACGTTGGCTGCTGGCACCGCTGTATTCCCTGGCTCCCCTGTGGCCTCCCAGCCGGGCACCCAGCAATGCCCTGCGCTACGCCCAGATGGGGGAGGTGGATCCGGCTCCTTGTCCGACCTAAGGGCCTCAGAGGCAGCCCGGGGCGAGCTCAGTCTCACAGGCGTGCGCTCAGCCTGCCACAGCACGCACGCAGCGAAGGACCAAGGCGGAGGGTCGGGTGCCAAGGGGCACAGGGACAGCCTTTCCTAAAGAGGAAACCCAATAAATACACCATTTTTGGAGGGGGCAAAGTTTCACTACCTAGTTCAGGCTGGTCTCAAAATTGCAGTGGTTCTCCTGCTTCAGCCTCCAAAGTGAAAATACACAATTTAAGGGGACTTCAAGATGGGCCAGGAAACTTTTCTGTGAAGGGCACACATTGAATACTGCAGGGCCAACAGCCTCTGGGGCTGTTGCACCCGTTCCCGTGGTCGTAGTGCAGAGCAGCTGCGTCTGGAAGTGTAGCATCCCGACCCTGAGCTTTGAACGTGATTTTCACATCAGGAAACATCACTTCTCCTGTTCTTGAAACCCGAAACAGTGCCTGGCTCACATCAGGCAGCAGGCAAGATCGGGCCCACAGGTTCTGGTTTGCAGACTCACACGTTCGTGTTGTGTGGAGCCAGACATCAAGCAGGCCACCCCGAGCCTCCTCCAGCCCCGAGGAGCCCTATAGTAAGTGAGGGCACTGGCAGGCCAGGCCTAGATTCTCCTAAAGCCAACAACCGCCGATTACTGAGGACAGGTGGTATGTAGACGCCCATGGTCTGCGGGGCGCGGGCCCCAATACCCTGAGCCGGGAAGGAGTGGTCTGCCAGTCACCAAAGCATTGCCCCCCGATGGTGCTGGGACGCTAGGCACTTAGGAACCTGAGGTGTGGTGCCTACGCAGCAGGACCGTTTCTGAGCAGCCACGCTGTCACTGACAGCACCGCGCAGCACCGACAGGGACAGCGGGCAAAGCGCGGCTCTGGGGATCACACGCCCAGCCACCGGCTGTAGCTATGCCGTCCACACTGCATGGGCCAAGGAGCTCGAGACATCAGCTGCGTCCCGCCCCGACCGCAGGGAAAGCGCTGCTTCACTGCTGGCCGGTGGAACCCCGTGCTCTGTGGCGTGCACAGAGCAAAGCCACAGACCTGGAAAGCCAAGAGCAGCATCACCAGCCTTCCCCGGCACCGGGCAAGGCCCCGGGCCCACAGCAGGGTCCCCTCCCAGTCCCTGGGGACCAACAGGACACGCTTGCATAGCCCAGACGGTGGCAGTCACCGTGGAGCCAGTCGCCAAGGGCAGCTACTGAGCATAGGAGCCACTGATGGCTCACCCAACTACACTCAAGATTCAGGTACTGCATGAGTGGCTGCCACGCAGGGCACTGCCGAGAGGCGGCGGCAGCCATGGCCTAGCAACTCGGCAGCACCTGCAGGTTTCCCCAGAGGAAGCTGCGTCTGGCAAGGATGGCCCGCATGGACAGCAGGTGGGCGTGGAGGGAAACAGCCAGTGGGGGTGAGCGTGAGCACCCCAACTTGAAGGGAAGTGCTCACGGTGCTGCCCACCACAAAGGCTGGCACAAGTAGGGCCTGCTCAGGGCCCAGAGTCCAAACACCACAGCTCAGCCAGGGGTAGCCTCCAGCTGCCCCCTTCCCTCCCGAGGGAGCTGCTGGGACAGCAAGGGTGAAGAGAGCCGAGAGCCGACCCCAGGGTGAGGGTCAGCACCCCGAGGCTGCCGGCCCAGGCCTTGTCTTCTTGGCTTGCCCCGGGGCCCCCGGCGGAGGGCTCCGCTGACGCTTTCTGTCCTGTTGCTGCTGCAGCCGCTCTTGCTTCTTCTTCAGGTAGGAGCTCATGTTGTCAAACGTGGCCTTGTAGAGCCCATGGAAGCTGTCGTCCGCGGGGGCAGAGCCTGTGACGGGGACAAGAACAGCGCCAGGTGAGACAGCAACTCAGGACGCAGGACTCGGCTGCTGGCAGAGCCCAGAACTCAGAACTTCCACAAGACCCTCCCGGGACAAGGAAGCAGTGCAGTGACAGCCCAGCATCCTCAGTGGGCTCACAGGCTCCTGGAGGGACACGCCCACGACAACGGCTGCACCCGGCACCGCTGTCAGAATGTGGCCAACGGATGGTGTGGGAGCGGGAAACCCAAGGACGGAGGTGCAGCTGCCACCCACGGGCACCCTGCTCGTGCTCTACACGGTGCCCCCGGCAGGGAACCCAGGCGCCTGCTGGGAGAACCTGAATTCGAGCCACCGGAGACCCCGCAGGACTGATTACAGAATGCCGAGCTGGTCAGTGCGCGGCTTTAAGGGACAGCTGCTGGCCTGCCGTGAGTGTCAGACTGAGGAGCAACTGCTGCCGCAAGCCAGAGACAGCCTTGGCCAGCCATGGAACTGCCCCGCACTCCCTGGCGCTGTCCCTGCAGCAGGGCACTTCCCGGGACGGTCACACGGCCGCAGCCCTGCTCCTGAGCTCCCCCCACGCCCGAGGGGGCGCCTGCCTCATCTGCGGATGTGGAAAGCGAGGCAGGCTCGGCAGGAGGCTGGTGCTGGGCAGCGCGAGCTGCACCTGGGGTCCGGCGGGCGGCCCCGGGGCCACCTGGAAAAAGTCGATCTGGTCGGTGCAAGGGTGCGGAGGGCTTGTGCCGCTGACCCCACCCTACCTCCAGCCAGCAGAGGGACAAGCCAGCGCATCACCCTCACACCTCACAGAGGACATCCGGCCAGCCTGGCAGATTCAGCTTGGAAGCCAAGTTTAAGTTCAAACCCCTTCAGACTTCAGGCAGGGAGCCCGGCTGCTAGCTGGAGGTGAGCCTGGCTTCCCAAGCTTTCTCCCCAGCAGCATCTTTCCTTCGAGGGGAGCCTGGTCTGAATGGGCCCTGCCCAACACCAGTGTGACGGAACGGGCATCCTGCAGCTGCAGGATGAGGGTCTGTGGCTCTGACCAGTGGGCGGCAGGCAAGGCTTGCTGCGTCCCCGTCCGTGACACTGTCAGGCGGCCTCACACGCAGCCACCCAGCCCCGCAACCAGGACACGAGGCTCCCGGCCGCGGTCTGGCTGAGCCTGCATCCCACCAGTGACCTGCGGCCTTGTCCCTGCCCTCGGGGCCACAGCGCCTCTTCCCATAAGCGATCTTTCCACTGCAGCCACTGCGTGTGGTCTGCCCGGTCCTACTGAGCCTCCTGCGCTCCCGACCTCACCTTCCAACGTGGCCCAGCTGCCTCGGAGATGACCGCAGAGCCTCTGGGACACGGCACTGTCAGCAACAGGCTGGAGGAGACGGGGACGCCGGAGTCAGAGGCAGGACAGACACCGACAGTGCCTGCCTCAGCCTCGGCGGCCTCCCCACTCAGAGGAAGACACAAGGGTTTGGGGGACCAAGGCACGTGCTCAGGGCTCTGGTAAGGAGTTTGGGAAGTTCACATGCTTGCCCGAGCCCGTGACCCCACGAGACAGGTGGGGACATTCCTACGGTAGTGGGGTTTGTGTGCGCCCAGCGCCCCGCGAGGCCCCAGGCACAAGGCTGAGCCGCTGAGCCTGTACTCATGAAGGGCACACCCAGGGCCACCTCATGGACAGAAAAGGCATGTGGGGTGAGACGAGGTGTCCCAGGAAGGACCGCTGATGGAGCACAGCAGGGACAGGCCAGCCAGGCCCCAGCCCTTGCCCTGGATACAGGCCTGGGAGCAGACATGGCCAGGCTGGAGGGAGCTCCGTGAGGCTGCAATCCTACCCCTGGCCCACAGGACCGCAGGCCCCTGACACCCAAAAGCCACCGGCCTCACCTGCCACTGGCCATCCGTGGGCCTCCAGAGCGCAAGGGGCGCCTCACGACAGTCCTGCAGGACCCACAGCCCCTGCCCCTCCTCGAACGCAACGTCCCACACACGACGCGGGAACCTCAGCTGCTGTCTGAACACCAGCTGTCTGCAGGCATTGAGCTGGAACACGAAGACCACCGGAAGGCTTTCCAGGAGAGAGAGGACAAGCACTGCAGCGGCTGGGCCATGGGCTTGTCCTGGCCCTCGCCAGAGGACGGCACAGCCTGCACCAGTCCCAGCCACACGAGGACCAAGCCAGGAGCCCCACCTGAGCCACCCAAACCACCCGGGAAGCATCGCTCAGCTGCAGCCACCCACGGGCACGACTCTCGGGTGGTCCCAGCCCCATCAGTGGGCAGGGGGAGACCGCACGATGTGAGGACCACGGAAAGCCAGGGCAGAAAGGAGCCTCACTCCCAGGGGAGGCTGAGCCCACAGCCTCTCCCCTGCAGGCCCTGCTCCAGGACATCTGCCCAACGCTCCCCCCGCAGGCTCACCAGTCACACAGAAGCGCCACATAGCTCTCCGGGCCCCAGAACGTGATCCTGGACACGGCGAACCTCTGCAGGGAAAAGCAACTGCTCACTTGGCACTGCCTGTGCCCATCAAGGAGGGCTTGCCCACAGGCACTGGGCAAGCAGGGCAGAAGGGGGCAGTGGCTGCCACCCCATCCTTCCACCCCGCCATGTCCACAGCTTCTCTGGAACCCCAGCTGGCCTCCGGGGCCTGGCAGTGCCTCAAACCATAGAACACGTGCAGTGCAAGGAGCTAGGAGCAGAGCACGCAGGACAAAGGGGGTGAAAATGCCAGATACAGCAACCCCGTTACAAGGGACCCTCAGAGGTCCTATGCTCTAAAGCGTGGAAGGATAGGCCCACTGCCTGCTTCACTCCCTGCTGGCCCACAGAGGGCAGAGGCCTCGCCACCCAGCGCCCACTGAGAACCCAAGCCAGCCCGTGGAGGACATAAACACTGCCCAAGCCAAACCTTGGGGACAGCGCAGGCTGGGGTAGCCCTGTCCCTGCCTGGGTTTTGGTGGCTGCTAAACAAGCCCCACCGTTTTTCCCACTTCCAAGTAGAATTCAGGCATTTCTGTAAACTAGATGCAGAAATGCAAGTAAGACCAGGTACAAATTACTTCCCGCCTGCGCAGCCAGGCACCTTCCAAACGTGAAAACTGTGCACTTCTCTCCCAAGCTACAAGTCCACACCAGATCCGCGAAGTGCTTCTAATGGCGACATGGTGTTCCCCACACAACCAAGCGCCCAGAGTAGCGCCCCGTAAGCCCCAGGCCCTGAGCCCTCAGCAGTGCGTGGCTACCTTGTGATCCTGGGGCTCAGCAGGCTCCTGCAGACTGGCCAGGTCACAGCAGTGCAGCTGGCGGCCGCTCCTATACTCCCACAGCCTCAGGGTGCAGTCCTGCACAGACAGAGGGGTTAGCACGCAGGCTCTCGGAGGCTCCCCAGAGGCAGGAAGTCTTCCGGGACAAGAGGTACAGGACACTAATGGTGGCCAGATGTGGTCAGCGGAAGTTCCCCCTGTGACAGCCATGGCTGCCACCATGAATTTAAGGCCCTCACAAAGACACAAAACACCTAGAAAACAGACCACCCCACAGCAAAATAAGCACACGACTCAAGACAGCCAGACTGTCACCAGCTAGAAGGTCAAAGTCCACACACACACGTACACATGCTTCAATGGTCACGCATGCACATGGGAGAAATGGCATAAACACACGCGCGCACAGACACCTCAACAATCACGCATACGCACGGGGAGAAATGTGCAGGGCTAATGGGTGTGCGGCATGCATGTCACTTCACTGGTTAAGAACGGGTGACCTAGCTCGGCATGGTGGTGCACGCCTGTACTCCCCCCACTCAGGAGGCTGAGGCAGGAGGATCGCAGTGAGTTCCAGGCCAGCCTGGGCTACAAAGTGAGTTCAAGGCCAGCCTGAACTGCATAGCCAGACCCTGTCTCAAAAAAAAAAAAAAAAAAAAAAAAAAAAAAAAAAAAGATCGGGTGACCATGCCAAGTCCCTCTGCTCATAGCCAGAACGTCAGGGGTTCAAGAAATAGCCACAGGTACCAGGGCCTCAGTGTGCTAGATGTAATTTCAAGTCTGAAACAATATTCACCACAGTGTTGCTTAAAACGGGAGGACAGAGAACCTGCACACACACACAGTGACCATGCACAGGCACCCCCAAGGCAGAAGACAAGCCCTGCTAAGTGGGTGCACCAGGCCCGAAGCCGCCTCCAGGCCTCACTTCTGACTGAGCCTGGACAGGTAGTGCATGGGCTATGTGCATCGCTACGTCTCCGGGGAAAATGACGGCCTTGTGCCTGTCACATGCGAGCAAGACCTCGAATGAGAAAGGCAAATGGCACACACGCACACACGCACACCAGGCTAACTTGGGCAAGGAAACTAACCACCATGAGGAGGAGAGACCCCAGCACGGACAGCCCAAAACGAGAACCTGCCGAGCTCTCGGAAGAGCACTTGAGGTTAAAACTACTGGTGTGTTTAAATCACTAAAATTAAAACTCCCATAGGAAGTTGAAAGACAAAGACGAGACCACCGCCCCAAAAGCAGAACCGCGTGAGTATATGAGAGAAACTGACCAGGAGGGAAAATCAGACCAACAAAGCTCGAGAAAAAGTAGCAGGAGGTGTAGGAAGTGAGAGAATACAACTCCCCAGGACCAGGGCTGGGGATTTAGCTCAGCAGCACAGCGCCTGGCAACCGCAAAGTCTTGAGTTTGATTTCCAGTACCGGGGGGGAAAAGAAAAAAAAAACCAAAAAGAGAAAAACTCCCCAGGACCGAGGGCAGTGAGGAGCACACATGCACACCAGAAACGCATGCAGACTCCTGAGGGTCCCATCGGCCTCAACATGCACAGCGCAGCAGGAGAGAAGACCCCAGAGTCCCCAGTTACAATTCCAGATCCCATGCCAGGTACGGCCCGAAGCAGGATGGCTTCAGACTTGGACAGGAGACAAGGAACAAAAACCAAGTAGAGCACACAGTGGGTGACGCTGTCAGATCTCTGCTACAGAGCTAGGGTGAGCGCAGGGTAAAGCGTCTGCCCGCATGCAGGTGGCCCACAAAAAACAATGACACAAAGCAGATGTTGTGGCGTGGCACAGGTCTGTAATCCCAGCACTCAGGAGGCTGAGGCAGGAGGATTGCTGTGAGTTAAAGGCCAGCCTAGGCTACAGAGTGAGTTTAGGACCAGCCTGGACTACAGAACAAGATACTCCCTCAAAAAAAAAAAAAGGAAAGGAAAGAAAAGAAAAAATCAAACAACATCGAACTGACAACCGAGAGTCTAGGATAGATTAAAGGGATTTCCAGAAACAGAAGGCTCAAAGCTGGGGTGCTCCCTCCACCTCCTGAAAAGCTCATGGACACGTCAGCCACCAAAACACGGCAGTCACTGCAGAGACAGGGCCTTGGGAAGCCGCTCTGTGCACCACCAGGGGCGCCCCTGGGACACCTACACCGATTTCCTCCTCTCTGTGTCCACGTGGGGCATGGCACAGAGCTCGAGGAAGCAGGGCAGATGCCAGGGCTGGAGCCCAGGGAGGCACAGCAGGTGCAGGTCAGCAGTGGCACCCACAGGGCCCGTCACTCCACGCCACAGCCCCAGAAACAGTGGTGTGGGGCCCAGCTTTGTGAGGAAGGGAGAGCTTTCCAGAGAACCCCCCGCAGAGGAGAGCCTCTGACAGCTGCGCTGGGGCCTCCAGACCAACTTCTGTGGCTCGGAAGTTTCCTTACGATCCAAACGGCATGCGGCCGAGGCCTGGCAGCCTCCCCACAGGTCCTCTGCCACGGCACCACCCGCCAGACAGCCGAGGAGCCGAGTCCGGCAGACAAGGGGGGCCAGACCATAGGCGACCCCAGGGGTCGGGAGGGGCCTCCCAGCCAGGTGCTCACCCCAGACACTCACACAGTCACCCACACCACCCGTCTCAGGATGGACGCCTTCCATGTTCTCAGAGATGTGCACAGAGACACACAGGGACACTACACACACCATATGTGGCCACACACGCCATTCACCCATGCAAACACACACCTACACCCCACACACACACTGTGCACACCCATAATACACTTACACTATACACACTGCATATACGTCACACCCCACTCACACCAACACACATACCCACACTATGTACCCATACGTAGACTACACCCCATCTACACCACGTACCCCCCATATCCACACCCCCCCACACGCACGCACACGCACGCACATGCACACAACCTGTATGCATCCCCACGAGCCTGACTGAATGGCTGTGGCCAGGCAGCGAGCCAGAGGCAGCTCCAAGAATCAGGAAACAGGCACCACCTAGTGGACGCCACTGACCACCAGGGAGGCTCCCCATGGGTCACCATCCCCACACAGGCACTCACCCCGGAAGAGGACAGCAGCAGCTCCGGATGGCCAGGCACCACCAAGATGCGGCTCACAAACCTGCAGGGCGAGAGGCGAGGGTGAGCCCGGGCTCTGCGGCGCAGCGCCCACCTCAGGAAGGGGCCTGCCTCTGCGGGCTCCCACCCTCAGCCAGGACCGGGGAGAGCTGCACTGTGGCCAGGAGACGGCCTCTGGATGGGGCAACACACACCACGCGAGGGCCCCGAGCACACAACTTCCACCACGGCGGGGCTGCCAAGCCCCCCCGCACCCGCTGCGAAGCCCCCAGAGCACGCTGCCCTCTACTCCTGCGATGCCTGAGCAGAAGGCAGGTGACAGGTGAGGCTTGGGGCACAGCGGAGGGAACAGTCCCACCAACAGGCTGTCAGACCAGCCCAGGGCCAGAGCCTGAGCGGCCAGCCACAGACTCGTCTACACTGCACCCAGCGTGCCCACACTCAGCCTGCGGCAGCACAGGATGAAACACTGCAGCCACCAAGAGCGATCCCCAGGGAGGCCCTCCCCGCCCACCCCCCACCCCAGGCTCCAGCAGCTGCCAGGCTTGAGCACCTGCTTCCCCAGCTCAGGCACAGCCACCCTGAGTGATCGTTGGGACACAGCTCCCAAACAGGGGCCCTTGGACCCTACCAGTCACAGGTGCCCAGTAGTAGGAGCAAGGACCCCAGCACCTTCACAGGCTGCAGGTCCTAACCTCAGGTTTTCAGGAGGGAAAGACACACCACATCCGGGATAGGGGCAGCCTGCCTGGAGGCAGCTGCAGGGAAGGGCAGAAACCAGTTTCCAAGGGTTTGAAACTAAACAATTACTCAGGAGGCTGAGGCAGGAGGATCACGGTGAGTTCGAGGCCAGCCTGGGCTACAAAGTCAGCTCAAGACCAGCCTGAATTGCTAGCAAGACCCAGTCTCAAAAAGACAAAAAAAAAAAAAAAAAAGAAACTAAACAGTCAGCTGCATCTGGGTTATGCAATCACTGAGGAGTGGACCTATCCAGCAGCAATCCCTCGCTGGGCCCACAGTGAGGTACTCCTAGAGCCGCAGAGTGCCGGGGACACACGTGTGAACGATGTCCACACGCTGTCACGGGCTCAAGGACATCCGTCCCCAGTGTGACCCACAGGAGAGCTCCAGGCCGCTGGACACCTCACAGAAAAACCAGAAAGGAATAGGTGAAATGAAGTAGGACTGTCATGGGCGGGTGGAGTTCAGTGGCAGCATGTGCCTCGTGAACAGAAGTTTCTGGGTTTTTCTACACACACACACACGAAAAAGAAGTAGCAAACTTTGACACTTCTTACTTAGTTGAGTATATCCATGTTACAAGACTAAGATGGCAGTACACACTTGTAATCCCAGCACTCAGGAGGCTGAGGCAGTAGGATCACCTAAACTACACAGTGAGACCCTCATTTAAAAAAAGGTATATCCAGGACAGTTCCCTTGAGGACTGGCTGGGAAGCCCCCAAGGGAACAGACAGCTTCAGGCAGAAGCTGAGGAGGTGGGGGAGGGCAGTGTCTCAGGAAGAGCATCTGTGGGCAGAAGCAGCACACGCCACGGCCGGAGACAGGAGCGCACACTCGGCAGTGAGACCCACTGAGGCGCACAGAGGGTCCAGGCCGAGGCCTGCGGGTCATAAGGGTCCCGGAGCTGGCTTAGTAACAACGGGGAACACAGCTAAGTCAGCATCAAGGCGACCCCGAGGCACAGACAGAGCACCGCCCCTTCCTAAGGGCGGCTCCTGCACCCACTCAGCCCAGGACAGGAGCAGGCGCAGAGCGGCAGCAAGGCTCTCCAGTTACTCCCGCTGCTTCAAGCGAAGTGCTCTGTGCGCTCGGGGCAATCACACCAGCGCTGTCGCTCTGCACACCGTGACAGCGCGCTCTCCAGACGCCCGGGCCGCTCCCCGCAGCAAGGACTCTGCACTCACTCCGTGTGCCCCAGGCAGAAGGCCTCGATGCAGTGGGGCGCCGCGGCCCAGCTGACACGGATCTTCTCATCCCGGTCCGCGGTGAGCACAAAGCGGTCATCAGGACTCACAGCCTGGGAAAGCAGGGGACAGAAAAGAGCAAGGAGCTCAGAGGCTTCTCCCGGCACCAGAAACGCATGCTCCTCCGAGTCCCCCGGGGAAGGCGCTACAGCCGGCCAAGGCCCACACGGCCCGCAGGGCTCCTTCCCTCCTCCCGCTGTGCTGACCACTGGGCCTCTCGGGCGGCTGCAATTCCGCACCACGACACACGTGGACCCAACTCCTCTCCCACCCGCCCCACTGCGCCACTGTCTCATGAGCCCCCACGTCCAGGTGGTCGCTGAGTTCTGCTGCATGCTCCCCACGCCCCTCCCTAGTGTTCACGCAGGGGTCTGCCCAGGTCTCAGGCCTCGCCGGGCTGCGGGGTGCTCCAGACGCCTGTGAGAAGCCAGCAGGGCTGGGCACAGGCAGGAGCGAGGAGGGCAGCTGTGGGGTGTGTGGCAGCCCAGGCAGAGGAGCACGGCTCAGGCCTCCGCCCCTAGTCTCTGACCTGAAGTCCCCACCCTGATGAAGCTGTCCACCAGGTACAGAGCCACGAGGCACCCTCCTGACTCACCCTCCTGTACCCTGCCACCCGGCTCCGTCGCCCCAGCTCCATCCCAAGCTCTCCTGCTCCAGAAGAGCCAAGTCCACCTGCCCGGCCCTGGGCTGGAGCACTGACGCAGGGTGTCCTCCACATACCACGTCCAGCAGCATGGACAGGTGACCAAGCTCAAGCCGGCCACATTCATGCGGCTCCAGCACCGAGAAGGAGTAGACGTCACCGGACTTGTCGGCCACCAAGACCCTCTGCTCAGAGGCTGTGAAGGTCAGGGCCGTGCACCGCCTTATCACGGACCTGCAGGGCCAGAGAAACACCCTTGTCAGAGTCAGGCTGACACGGGACCCTCCATGGCTTCCAGCCACAGGCAACCCTACCTCAGATGGTTCAATCTACAATGCACAACATCATGATGCGCACACACCAGCCACTCTCTCATCCAGTGCTAAATCCAGCAGGCTGCACGGGAGAGTCTGCACTACACTGCGAAACAGGCTTTGTGCGCATGCTCTGTCCGGCACATGCACAAAACACTGCTCCAGTGAAGGCAGATAAGGCCGAGCTGGGATGCTCCGTGCGCAGGTTTGCTGCAGCTCAGCACTTCTCTTCCAGCTACAGACAAAGCACCAAAGATGATCAACACAAAGTGGTGCTAGCGAGACTCGTCATTAACTGGTTCAGGGGGAACACACAGTTTTGGCTGGGAAGGGGCACAAGGCAGTCAACACTGACAAGTTCTAACCTGTGCGTCACGTACCAGATGATAACTACCGGGACAAAAATGCTCGCGTCAGGATGCATCCAGTACCCAATCCCAAGAGTTTCAAAGCAGTCGAGTGGCAAGGGCTTCCTGTGTGTGAGTATCTGATATACACCTGCTGGCTCTGCTGTACGTCTGGAACCCGTTATCATGACATGCAGGGACCCCGGAAGCTCTGCTGAGCATCTGAGGGAGACGAATGACAGCTTCACAGGCACTGCGCATGCTGAGCCGCTCTCCGGGACAAAAGCACAGGCCGCCACCTGGTCTGCCACCTGGACTCTACCGCCCACGGCCTCCCCGGCCACCTCTGCCGGGCACCATGTGGCACCAGAACCCCACAGATACTGCCAGGCACACCTGCCCCTGTGCCCACTCTCCCATGGGGGAGATCAGAAGAGACAATGGAATAGGAAGGCCAGCGGGACTCTCGTTCACCAAAGCCCTGACCCAGGTCCAAGACCTGTCACATCTGCACACTGGCTCGGTAAGCAACAAAGCTGCGCATCCGCTCCATGACCAGCCAGGACCCTGGCCTCCTCTCGGTCACAGTTCAGGGTCCAGGACGCTACTCTGTCCACCGGCAAGCTTTACACCTGCATGTGTCATTTTACACAGATGCACCTCCACACACTGCTTTATGCACACACTGGGACCCTGGTCCCCTGGTCGTTAACAAAGCAGCCATCCCTGTTTCCTTGGCCACCCAAGGACGGGTAGTGGCCACTCTCAACAAAGAGCTGAAACTGAGCAACTTGCCGGGGTGGGACTGCAAGATGTCAGCTCAAGTTGGAGCCTGAGCTGGAAGAACGGCATGACCAGCATGGGATCCATGCAGGACAAAGGACAGCAGAGCAGAGGGAGGGCCTGGTGCGGTCACCTCATATCCCTGTGAAGGATGTGCGAGCACACTGCAGGGACCATTCCTCCTCCTCCTCTTCCTGCTCCAGCATGGGTGGGGAGCCATGGGGGAGATGCAGAGAAAACAACGACAACAGAGAGACAACCGAGCTCTGGGGCAGGGCTGACCAGGATTCACAAGTAGGCGTCCTGGGTCAGCACTGCGGCAATGGGCTGACTGCACAGCACAGCAAACACCCCAGAGCCCGGAGGGGTCGCCACCCCAACCACGTGCGTGAGTAGCACAGGGGCCCGCACCCTCACCTTGTCCTCGACCTTACACCAGTGGGGGAAGACCAGCTTCTCAGGGTAAATCACCCCAGCCAGCAGCCAGGGGCAGCGGGCGTGGGAGTCAGAATGTAAGGGTCAGTGCAGAGTGGGCAGGTCATTGGAGGACAGCGTGCAGGCTTTGAGCCCCCAGGGCTGAGCTGGTGGTCCACTCAAGCTCAGGCCCCATGCTTCCTCCCACTGAGTCCTAGGTTCTTGGCCCCAGCCTGAAAGGCAGAGGAAGCAAGTACTGCTCCCCTCCCAGGCTGGCCCTGCCTCCCGCTCTACCGGAGGGCCAAGCCACAGCCAGCCAGGCCCCTGCTGAGCCATGCCGGGGCATGAGGGTACTGGGTGCCACTTATACGCTGGCCTAGCTCCCCAACTCCTACACCTAGCAGCTGGATACAAAGCCAACCCAGCTCGGACTTCCCAGGCTCTGTCCTTGGGTGCCCTACTGCTCTCCTAGGAGTAACTTCACAGGTAAGATCACTCACCCACAGGAGCACAGCACAGAACTGAGGGTGTCGCTGGCCACCCTGACTGGGGGCCCCAATTCCTGTCCCGAGGCAGGCCAGGGTCTCCTGACTACCCTGGAAAACTGTCACCCACAACTTCCTATTTGGCTGTGGTCAGAACACCCCAAAGCTAGGACAGAAAAGCAGCAGCACACTACAGACGGCGGGACAGAGCTGGGGTCTGGTCCCAGCTCAGGTGAGTCCCATGGCAGCACAAGGGCCTGGTCCTTCATGTAACATAAACCACAGGCACACGGAACCCCTGAAGTGGAGCTGCATGGTAGAGGGGCCTGTGGGGGCCCCGGTTAGATCCCCAAAGGGTCTCAACCCCCGGCAGGCAAAGAACAACCAGACAAGGCACAGAGGAGTTCAAGAGCCTTCTTGTCCTCCGCCATCAGACCATGCTGGACTCAGAGCACAGACCGGACCCCTTGGAGAGCAATCAGAGCCCAGGGGAGTGCCAGGCACTGGCTGCCCCACGGCGCAGGCGCTGCAGTGGCTGCTCACATACCCCTTGCTCCCAAGCCCAAAGTCGCAGCACGCCCAAACCAACACAAAGCGACGCCGCACTGGCAAGCATGGAACTTGCACGACACTGCTCACCTTGAAGACCTCAGGACCACAGGACACCTGAAGAATGAGCGCAAGTATGGCCCTCTCCCCCAAGCCACCACGCTGCGGGCCAGCTCCCCCACACCCCTGCCACAAGGGTCTGGGGCTTCGGCACAGGGAACACCTCTGCGCGGCAATGCTGGAACCTGGCCTTTGGCCTCATCTCCTGGGGTGGGCACTAGGAAAGGCGGGGACCCTGCCCCCTCATAGTCTCACATGGTGATTTGGGGGCATGAGACACTCCTGGACACTTTCCAGGCAGCCCCTTCCCAGGGGACAGATCTGTGTCCCTTCACTGTCCTCTGTGACCTCAGGACAGCAGCTCTAGGTGAGTTCTGCAAGTCCGTCTTGTGAATTAGTGAATCAGAGGGGCCCATGGGACCCCAAACCTGCAGCTGGAGTCAGAAGGGAGGGTGGTCTTGAGGACTACTGTCACCAGCATACCCTCCCAGGCAAACTTCAAACACAAGGGAGAAGGAGATGCCAGGAAACGGTATCACTTCAACAGCAGGACACTGGCAACAACCTCACTGCCAACAGTGAGGGTGACACAGTGTGAGGACGGGACAAACCGGTGCACGCAGGGCACACAGAGCAACCCACGCACGTGTGATGCTGCAGTGAAACCCAGGGGGCACACCCAGTGCTCGTGAACAGGATCGCTAGGTGGGGAGATCCAGCGTGCATTTTTGGTTCTCGCTTTGGTTCTCCATGATTGTCAATTTCCTGTATTAACCAAAATCAAAGAAGAAAAATGGCATCATCTACCTGTTCCCAGGGAGAACCAGGCAGACCAGAGGACTTGTTAACTTCCATGGTCTAACTCACTAACTGACCAAAGCTCAGAGAGAGCCTTGGATGGGAGGTCCCACGAGAGGCCTGAACCACACCAGCATGCAAATCACAGATCTGTCCGGTTCTGGGTCACAAATGTCCCCAGAGGCCATTCTCGGAAGGTCTGGTCCCCCGCCTGTGCCACTACAGGGAGGTGGCAGAATCCTTAGGGGGTGGAGCCTGGCAGGGCAACCAGGTCAGGGATTCCCTTGAGGGGACACTGCGGCCCTGGCCCCTCTCTCTGCTTCCCAGGTGCCACAAAACAAGTGGCAAAGTTCTACCACACGCTCCTGCCAAGAGGTTCTGCCTCGGCACTGACCCAAAAGTGATGGCACCAGTGACCAGGGACCTCCGAAACTGTGATCCAGGATAAACCTCCCTCCTTGCCAGAGCTTCTCTGACACAGCTACACGGGCAGAAAGCTGGGGGATGCTAACACACAAAGGCCCCCTACAATGAATAAAAAAGGAACCACCCCCAAATGAAAAAAGCAATGCAATGAAAGCTCACAAAATACACACGATTCTTAAGTACACACAAAGGCTGGCCAACCTCATTCATAAAAAGACAAGCAGGGGCTATCACTTTTCTTCCATCAGACTGCCTACAACTGTAAGATTTGGTAAGACCTTGGCGAGGAGGTCCACGAGGAGAAAAGGGAGTTTTCTAATTGTATGTGTCATGTCTGCAGCACTGAGGACTGAACCCAGGGCTTCACACGTGCTCGGCAAGGGCTGTCTCTGAGCCACATCCCACCCCCAAGGGGCATTTTCACACTCTGGAAGGAGGGCGGATTTTACTCCTCAGACATTATCTGTCTAGACCGAAAAAACAACATTTGCTTACCCATGAACCAATTAAGTCCAGTACACACTGGAGTTCTTTCCAGTTTGGGGCTATTACAAATAAAGCTTTTAGGAATATTTGTGTACAAGAAAAAAAATAATTATCTATCTAAATTACAAATGTGACCTGGCGTTCACCTGCAGGGATTTCTCCTACAGGATTACTCACAGATAGAAAACATCACATCTGTGTGTGAATATGCACTGAAGCACTTTTGGAAACAGCAGAACAAGCAGAATATAGGAGGAAGTCTATTGTGGAGGGATGGTGAACAAAATCACACGGCCACGCAGCCCCTGACCCCTGTCTGCGGCCGGTGTTGAGATGCACTCCTCTCTCTCTAGGCCGCATCAGCCTGGAAAGCAACCTTCAGTCCAAGCAGACACCCGGCCACCTCTCACCCAGGATCACTGCCCACACCCAAGCGGTAAAGGCAAGATCTGTGGCACATCCTCAGGACAACGAGGGAGGCCTGCACCCAGCCGTGTCTCGCTGCTCCAAGTGCAGCCCCAAGTCTGGCAGCAGTGCAATTACCCAGAATGCAGCACACCACAACGACAGATTGTAGGGAGGGCCGGAACTTGGCAGTGGAGCCCATTCGTAGCAAGCATGAGGCTCTGAATTCAATAAGCCACCTATCACTACCCTAGCCCATGCTGCACGAATAAGCCTATACTTTCACAAGGTGACTCCTGTGTAGAGACCCACAGCACAGCTCAGCCACTTCAGCAGACATATTCCCACCAGAATCTTTCAGATCATCTGACTTTTACCTTTTTGGGCCGAAAGCCCCCTTTGAAAATCTGACGCAGCCCTGCATGTTCTTCACACATAAACTGAGCAACCAGTGTCAGGAAGACAGGATCAACTGTTACGAGCTAACTACCCTACTCCCTCCCCAAAACTCACAGGTTCAACCCCTGACCCCGCCAGCATCGCAGAACATGACTGTGCTTGCGGAGGGCCTTTACAGAGGTGATGAAGACACACGAGCGCCCAGGTGCAATCTGACTTCACCCCGCAGGAGGAAATCAGAACGCAGACACGCCACAGCACCTGATCTCAGACATCCAGCCTGCAGGGGTCCCAGGGGGAGGACTCGGGTTGCAAACCTCAGGGCCACCTTGCCAGATTCATCTCTACTCCTCAAGATACTTCACCCGGTCTACACTCCACATGACTCACTAGCGTGTCAGCTCCTCTGGCAAGGGGATGCTTGCTAGGCCTTTCAAAGTCAGGATGATGCAGGCTGTGGACAGCTGGACACAGTAATTTCACCTTAAACAGACACATGGCTACACATTTTAAAAGCCATTCTCGGCCAGGCGTGGCGGCACATGCCTGTAATCCCAGCACTCGGGAGGCTGAGGCAGGAGGATTGTTGTAATCCCAGCCTGGGCTACAAAGTGAGCTCAAGGCCAGCCTGAACTGCATAGTGAGATCCAGTCTCAAGAAGACAAAAAAAAAAAAAAAAAGAGAAAAAGAAAAAAAGGACTAGGGATATAGCTCAGTAGAGGCCCGAGGTCCAATTCCTGGAAGGAGGGGGAAGGGAAGGGACAAAGGAAAAAGCGGCACATAAAGCACCACATCTATAGGACTCTACTGCTAAGAGGAACACAGGCCCACAGCACTGCTGCTTCTGCCTGCATTACCGACCTCCCCCTGACACCCAGCTCCCGCCCTCTCTGCAAGCACAGAAAGAACTGCGCTCAGCTCCGTCACTCCAAGCAGACCAGCCTGAGACAGACCTTGCCACCAAATGTCGGCAAGAACAAGGCCCTGCTACCCTCACTGGCTGCTGGGAGGATTCAATTCGTTAATACACATAAAGCACAGGAATCCATGTCCAGCACCTAGCTGGGACTTGTTAATTGCTTATCACTACGGTTACTGTCACTATTGCTACTGACATGCAAGTACAAGGTGTGCACAGGACATCTTAATGATTCAGTGTTAGCATTTCATACCTGACACTCAGACATTGCCATGGTTTTGTACGGAAAAGAATCAGACGCTTACTGTCATCAGTTAAAGCAAAATAGCTGCCAGACTTGGAGAAGGTGGACGCCAGAATCGTGTCACTCCCCTGGTCCACGGGCTGTCCGTCCTCCCTAGGAAAGAAAAGGAAACAATGAGGCCTCATTTGAAGAAGGATGGCTTTGCTCATCAATGAGTCAATGTAGTGGGCAGCAGCAGCAAAGAGGTAAGCAGTTCACGTAGCCAGAATATAAAGACATTCGATGCTGGGACGTGCAAAAGCAGCTCTAACTTCACAGAGGTAAAACCTACCTAAACAGAGCACTCCAGCAAACATGCTGGAATCCGCAGCACTAGCCAGATGCACCTGAAAGATCACATAGCCCACTCATCGTGGACAGAGCTAACCCAAGATCACAGGCAGGGACCAAATCATGTTGAAGATAACAATGGAACTGAGCCACAAGACCAGCTAAAGAAAGTCACCACATGAAATCCCCACATATTCTGCTTTTATCTTTCAATTACCTGAAGTTACACCTGTCTTCACTGTATTTTACTTTTCTGGTTTTTTTTTTTTTTTCTTGTGGGGCGGGTACCAGGAATCGAACTCAGGACCTTGAGCTTGCCAGGCAGGCGCCTGTGCCACTGAGCTATATCCCTGGCCCTTCACTGTATTTTAAACGTTCACTATTACTTCAAGGAGCCAAGGATGGTTACTGACAGACACGAAATGATGTGGAGAAGTGCTTTCGTGTTTCTTTCCTGAGGTACAACTTAGTTATCCTCTCCCGAGGTGACAGAAAGTAAGAATTCATCGGCACAACTACATCCTCCACCTCCCAGTCCCGTTACTCAAACCCTGAGGCCCCACTGGTGCCTCCCGCCATCTCACCCTTTATCCTCTTGCACCTTCTTTTCTGCAGCACTGCAATCATATGTGAAGAGGCTGCCATCATCACTAAAAGGGAAATAACAGAATGAACACTTGGTTAACAAATATGCTTGTTTCTTTTTTCCTTAGAACAAAAATATTTGTATACTCATTAGAAGTGGGGGTCTTAGCTGGGCATGGTGGCACATGCCTATAGTCCCAGCACTTGGGAGGCTGAGGCAGGTTCCTGAGGCAGGAACTTGAACTTCAAGTTCAAGACCAGCCTGGGCTACAAAGCGAGCTCAAGACCAGCCTGAACTGCGTAGCGAGACTCTGTCTCAAAAAGACAAAAAAAAAGAAAAAAAAAAATGTGGATCTTATCCATGACAAGAAAGAAACCTGACTGGCTACAATATTTTAGAGGAGAGTTAATGAGCTTTATTTGCTTAACCTATTTGGATAAGTCATACACAATCAGCACGGTTCTGTCCAAAGAAAATCAGTTCAGCTAGGCATGGTGGCACATGCCTGCAATCTCAGCACACAGGAGGCTGAGGCAGGAGGATCACTGCGAGTTTGAGGCTAGCCTGGACTACATAGCAAGACACTCTCTCTCAAAAAAAAAATAAGTTTGAAAAAAACAGAGAAAAAACTCTAACAGGAATTAATGCTACTCTTTCAAGTACTAAAAATGAATACATCATGATTATAAGACAATATGCTAATATTGTTGAATTTTCTATAGATTGTGCACCCAGATTTTTTCTTTGAGACAGTGTCTCGTTATGCAGTTAAGGCTGGTCTTGGAACTCACTATGTAGTCCAGGCTGGCCTCCAACTCCCAGCAATCCTACCCCAGCCTCCTGAGTGCTAGAGTTACAGGTGTGCACCACCACACCCAGCTCTGCACCCAAATTTTTTTTTTTATTTTGTCTTTTTGAGACAGGGTCTCCCTATGCAGTTCAAGCTGGCCTTGAGCTCACTTTGTAGCCCAGGCTGGTCTCAACTCGCAAAGATCCTCCTGCCTCAGCCTCTGGATAGGCATGCATGACCATATCCGGCATGCACCCAAATTTAAAACCAGAATCAGAAAGATGCCTTAGCTGCCTGAAAAAGCTACCATGACCCCATGTTCTTACCCATAGAGGAATCTTCTCTGTAAGAACCTAAGCCAGCAATGGCGAACCTTTTAGAGTTTTCAATGACACAAACAGCTTGCGACAGCACGCATGGCATACACGTGCCCCCACTGCCCTGAAATACCCTTTACCCCACCCTCAGGCACATGGAAGCTGTCCTGTACATATCAGAGGTGGGGAGACTATGGCATATGTGCAGAAGCGGGTTTTTTCTATCACTGCAAGCTCGAAAAGGTTCATCATCACTGGATATCTAATGGCCTTTCAAGTGATTGCCAAATGCTTTTATCACTGAAATTGTGGAGAGAGGTCTTTGCCGGCTCTGAAGTTCCTCCAAAAACTGACTGAAGCAACCAGATGGTGTCTAATGTACCCACGGTTCCCTGCGACCTGTATTAGGGGCTGTAAGTCTCTGAAACAAAACCATCTGGGATATGACAGGTTTGTAAATTGTGAAATCTACATGTAATATCGGACAAACTGTACGGTGTACGTTTAACACACACGTCATCTACTTCAAGTATGAAAGAAATCAAAACTATCCTGGGATAGGAAACAAGCCGCGGAAACTGACCACTACTAACTAACTGCCCCCGTATCCAGGCTCGTAAATCAAGAGAGTTCGATTAATAAATATTGACTAATTTAAGAATCCTGGGTGCTGTCCACGCACTGGGAATACACTAAGGCAAGAAGATGAAATTACAGAAAGCAGACGGAGCGTGAAGGGCACCAGGGAGGTGGGCGCTGTGGGCCCTGAGCACGTCCTAAGTACGGAGTCCTCCTATTACCCCCGCGCTGAACGACAGTTAGGACCTGGGGGGACACAGGTCTGCAAGGAGGGGCAAGCAACACCCGAAGGGCAGAGAGGGGCCAGGAGGCGCTCTGGAGGATGCGGGGGGCATCGCCGAGCCGGCTGACAGTGAGCCCGTCTCCTCCGCGTCGCCCCACGTAACGCGGCCAGCCCACGCGGTCGCCGCAGGGCCCGGAAGTCCAGAGTGTGCCGTCGCTGCCCCAGCGACAGCGCCGCAGACCCGCAGTCCAGGGACGCCGCAGCCGCACCACGCTGCGGGGCCAGAGCCGGGCGGCGGGCCGCGGCCGCCGCAGACCTCCCGGGGGTCGCCCAGAGCACCCTGGCGGCGGGGGAAGCGGGGTCTCCGGGGCCGACGCGCACCGCAGCTCCCAGCCCAGGGCCCCCTCACCTGCTTGCAGTGGAGGTGGCCAGGAACCGGCTGCCGCCCCGCACCACCAGCGCCTGCCCGCACAGTGCCAGACCCACGGAACTCGCCATGAACCCTCCCCGCGTTACACCATCCACGTGCCCCGCAGGGGGCCCTTCGGGACGGCGCACGTTATGACGTCACGCGCAGACGCCACGAGATGACGTAGCGCGCTTGCTAAAACCCCAACGTGCGCGTGCGCAGAAGGCGCGGTCTCCCCGCGCTGGGAGATCCTGCAGGTTCTGGGGATTTGCGTGGAATGCGCGCAGGGCAGCAAGCTCCGACGGGTGTTCGTCCTCTCGTTTAGACTGGACAGAGCCAGCTCTGGGTCTTCGTTCTGGACAGAGCGCCTCGTACCCACTTGGTGTTGACCGATATCCTTCAAGAAATGGTTCTAGGGAACATCAGGCCCAGGAATCGGCCGCGGGGGTGGGTGTCACTGGTGGGGTCGCGGCTGATGACCTTGGACGAGCGCCTGCTACCCACCACACCGAGACGAGCCCGGAAGAGCACTAGAAGCGATGTGTTTCGACCCTAATGGTGGCTATTCTCGATCGTTCTGACGCAGTTGTGGCAGAGTCAGCGACCGGCAGAGGGTGGGGAACGAGCAGAACCCTGAGCCCTTAACTGGTTCTCATTAGAAATATTTGTTTTCGCCGGGCGTGGTGGCGCACGCCTGTAATCCCAGCACTCGGGAGGCTGAGGCAGGAGGATCGTTGCGATCGGTGCGAGTTCGAGACCAGCCTGGGCTACATAGTGAGCTTTAGGCCGGCCTGAACTGCATAAGGAGACCCTGTCTCAAAAAGACCAAAAAAAAAAAAAAAAATTTGTTTTCTTCTGGGACAGTCAGGGACTTAAAAGTCATTTTTGGTATGAACCAGGACTCTTAAAGCGGGCTTTGGATGCCCAATAGGTTATTAAAAGCAAAAGAAAGCTTGACTTTCATTTTGTATCCTTTGTTGCTCTAGGTGTTGGGCCGGAACCCCTCCCCGCCATAGGAGTATGTTGCTTAGGGAGTGTCTGTCTAGGAGCGGGCCTGACAGGGTTGATTAGTTCTGAATTTACAGGATCTCATTCTCTCCAGACTGAGGACACAAGATGTTCATAAAAACGTTCAGCTACAACCAGAAGTCTAGCCATTGTCCTAAGCATGTGATCACCTGAATTTCAGGAAAGGTAGGGCCCCGCATGCCAGAGCACCAGAGGGACATCCCTGGAAACAAAAGCATCCTTCACTCACCAGCTAATCCTTGAAAGCTAGCCTTCCACCCGGGGTGGGCTAGCCTGAACCCCTGTATCAGAGTGTTCCCTCTCTGGCAGTCTTTCCTCTAACTTCCCGATTAAGGCATTTTTTCCAATAAATGTGTGCTTTAGTTTTAATTTCTGTTGCTACTAAAGCAAAGACCCAAGCCAGATGGCAACAGTTCTCCCAACATCCTGTCTCCTCTAATCCCACATTAGCTCAAAGTCTAGGATCACATGGTCTCGCCTAGGTTGGATGTGGTTCCTCTGAAACTGCTCCTCCTGGTCCAGAGACCTACATACTGAAAAGATGGATTGTCTTTCCCACACATCTGTCATGGTGAAGGCTAACCACATGAAATACCAACATGAAGAGGGGTGGATGGTGACAAAGGGTCCCTGGTTGTCTTGGTTACTTTTCTCTCATTTGTGGGACAAAATACTTTACGCCCAAAATTAAGGAAGGAAAGGTTTATTTTGCTTAGTTTGTGGAAGTTCCAGTCCATACTTGGCAGGTTACAAGGCAGAGTGGCACATAGCAGAGGGCTACAGCTCATGGCGGCAGGACACAGCAAAAGCAACAAGCATTCAGGGGAGGAATGGCCCCAAGCAGCTGCTTCCTCTCCCTTACATATGCAAACTATCCACCCCAGGGCAGGTGCAGCTCTCACACCCATAATCAATCAAACTCTAAAAGCCTGCCCCATGACCGCATGAGGCTTTGGGGGGACACCCAGACACAAACCATAACATTGGTCTATACCAGTTCTAAAGTCCCTTGGGAAGAGTTTTCACAACCCACAGGAGTCATATGAGGTGTACCCTGATCGACCTAGATCTACTTGCTGGGAGCATCTCCCCAGGCTACATCCAACTTGGACTCTTGCTCTATTCTCATAAGTGTCCCTCTAAACGCTGCTTGAAAACCAGCAAGGTTTTTCTTTAGCTCATCTTTTTCCTGTAGTGCCTTTACATGTTGGGGGTAAAAGAAACAGCATAGGGGCCAGGGATATAGCTCAGTGGTACAGTGCCTGCCTGGTAAGCACAAGGTCCTGAATTTGATTCCTGGCGCTAAAAAAAAGAAAAGAAAAAAGGAAGAAACAGGATAATTTTGGTTTTTGCTGTACTGGAGGTTCCAACCCAGAGCCTCACACACGGGAGGCAAATGATCTAGAGCTAAAACCCACTGAGCTAAAACCCAGCCAAGAATAATTTTGCTACTATGATGTGAGATGATTTTGTTCAAGTCTGTGGGATGAGTGGGTACTTTTTTCTCTGATGTTACTGAGAGTGATTGTTTTCCCAATGGTCACATTTTGTCTACCTCTACACTTTCCTCACTATGGTTCCAGTCTATGCTGCTAATTTTTGCATGGGTTTTCCAGGCCTCCCAATGGCACATGTTTTAGGTTACCTTTATAGTAGTAGTTATACCTAGGTACAAAGTGTCTGTCTATAGCCTGGCATGGTGGTGCACACCTGTAATCCCAGCACTCGGGAGGCTGAGGCAGGAGAACCGTTGTGAGTTCAAGACCAGCCTGGGCTACAAAGTGAGCTCAAGGCCAGCCTGAACTGTTTAGTGAGACCCTATCTCCAAAAGACAAAGTGTCTGTCTATAGCATGCATGCTTCCACTGGAGTATACAGAAAATTCAACAACGTCCTGGAAACTATGGCATTTTTGTGACTGGTCTACCAGATACACCTAAAGAGAGTATGGACCTTTCTTTTCCCAATAAACAACTCATGGACTATTTTCCGTGTTGTTTCTCCCATAGTCATGAGGTGTTAGGAAGCTGAGAATCCTCCTTTAAAACAATAAGACAGGCCAGGCATGATGGTGAATGCCTGTAATCCCAGCACTCGGGAGGCTGAGGCAGGAGGATCGTGAGTTCGAGGCTGGCCTGGGCTACAAAGTGAGCTCAAGGCCAGCCTGAACTGCATAGCAAGACCCTGTCTCAAAAAGACAAAAAATAAAATAATAATAAAACAGTAGGACAAGGGGTACAAATGCAGAGTTTAAATTTCACATATACTGGCAAGACAGGAATACACACAATATTAAGGTCCTTGAATTTTTAAAAAAATTTTAAGCCAGGTGTTGTGTTGCATACCTATTATCCTAGCACTTGGGAGGCTGAGGCAGAAGGATCAAAAAACCAATAAATATTTTTAAGATTTATAAAAGCAAAAACAGACCCTCATTAGTTTCATGGTGGTTGTACTAGGTTGAACAGTAGACCCCCAAAAGATATCTCTACCTGCGAGATGGGCAGTGGTTCTGGTGCCCACGGGACACAAGGTGAGGGGCTGACCAGACGCCGAAGCTGCAGCTACAGACAAGCTGGGCGTGTAGTGTGGACCAGAGATACTGTCCTAACAAGTTTGAAAACCCACAATACCCAGAGAAGGATCAAGTAGGTCCAGAAACTTGAAGGCCATGATTTATAGGGCTGTGGCCCTCGGGGAGATTTCCAACATAAGGCTGAAAGGCTAAAGGTAGAGATGGGGGAGGCAGCCCAGTGGAAGTTCTGACCGGTCTCCCAAGACGCACAGGAGGGGGGGGCCACTGCCAACAACCACAGGTGGGATCGAAAAGTACAGTGAGTGCTTAAAAAAAAGACCATCCCATGAATCCCCCTCAAAACACTCCTCTTCCAACACTCATCCCATCGTGCCACTTGCTCTGGAGTCCTCTTTCCTGGTTGTGTATAAATTGCACTGTCCTGGCTGCCTCGATGGCCTAAATTGACTCAAAATATTTCCCTTTCATAGTCCTTTTGACTCTAGGGAAAAGTCAGAAGTCACACGGTGGCAGATCCAGTGAACAAGGTGGATGAGGACACAGCGTCATGTTCTTATGAGCCTGCCTTTCTGTTAGACGGCGCTGGGCAACAGCAGTCACTGTTTTTTGTGTAACACCTCAAAAACACTCAGGAAAGAGGACTCCCGGAGTTGCTGCAGAAAGTGGTCAGGACCACGGGATGAATGTGTTCCAAGGCCAGGCGTGGGGGCGCATGCCAGTAATCACAATTTCCAAGAGGCTGAGACAGAAAAGACAAAAAAAAAAAAAAGAAAGAAAAGAAAAGAAAAAAGCCGAGCATGGTGGAGCACTCCTGTAATCCCAGCACTCTGGAGGCTGAGGCTGGAGGATTGCTGCAAGTTCGATGCCAGCCTCGGCTACAAAGTGGATTGAAGGCCAGCCTGAACAGCACAGTGAGACCCTTTCTCAAAAAGACCAAAAAACAAAAAAGAGGCTGAGACAGGAGGGTCACCGTGAGTTGGAGACCAGTCTAGAATGTACACTAAGACCCTGTCTCAAAAATCTAAACAAGAGAAGTGTGTTCAAAGCAAGTGTGGCAATTTTGACGGGGATTCGTGGCAGTATGTCTTTTACTGTTTCGGGTTTGTTTTGGTTTGGTTTTTTTTTTCAATTTCATTTTTCCAGTTTTTTTTCTGTTTTGTTTTTTGGGTTTTTTCCGGTACCGGGAGTCGAACTCACGACCTTGCACTTGCCAGGCAGGGGCTGTGCCGCTGAGCTAAATTCCCGGTGCCTTTTTTTTCCGCTTTAAACACTCATCCTACACTCTGATCTCCCCATAGACACCAGACCTCTGGTGGCCCCAACAGCAGCAGGCAAGCGCCCCGCGCCTCCCAAGGTCAGAATGTGCGGGAGGAGGGGCTTTGCGCTTCTGTCTGTAATTGGACACCTCTGCTCGGGGGCGTGGCTTCAGGGCGGTGCGCCGGGAGCAAGGAAACATCTGGGGATGCGCGCGCAGGCTCAGCCCCGCTCCTGGTAGCCTGTGATTGGTGCACACTGCTGCAGGGGCGTGTCCTCGGACGGCGTCGGCGTCAGGGCGCGTCCCCCGAAGCGACGTCGGCGCGCCCTTGTCTGCGCCATGGCGGCTCGGCTTCTACTGCGGCGGGGACGAGCTCGGGCGCTGAAGGTAAAGGAGGAGCCGGCCGGAGCCCGCGGGGATTGGAATGAGGACGTGGCGCCCCCGGGGCGGCGGGCTGCGAGGCCAGCGCGGGGCCGGAGAGCGCCCCCCTCCCGCCCGGGCGAGGCGGCCTGCGTGGCGGAAGGTCCCGGGTGGCCCGCCCGGGGGCGCTGACCGTCCGGCTTGACGCTTGTCGGTGCGCGGCTTCCTCAAGGACGACGTCGGGCCCTTAGCGGGGAGCCCGGCCCCGCCGCACGTCCCGCTGCGCCTCGACTGCGCGTGCAGGCTAATGCAGTGGAGGGGCTGTAGGGACCTGGTGACCCGCTGACTTAGCTGGTGGCCGCGGAGGAGCCATGCACAGATTGCCAGGGAGAGAGGGGCGTGGTTTCTCTACACCCCAAAACCTGGGGCCACCCCCCTGCTAGTTTAACATTTTAAAAAATGTTTATTGTTACAAAAGAAAAAAAGCCAAGCCGGGCGTAGTGGCGCACGCCTGTAATCCCAGCACTCAGGAGGCTGAGGCGGGAGGATTGTTGCGAGTTCGAGGCCAGCCTGGGCTACAAAGTGAGCTCAAGGCCAGCCTGAACTGCGTAGCTAGACCCTGTCTCAAAAAGACAAAACAAACAAAAAAAAAGACAAGAAATATTTGGCTTTTGCTTTTCTTTCTTTTATGTTCTGTTGAATCCCGTTCCTCACACGTATGCACTCTACCAGTGAACCACACACGCAAACACACACATGCCCTAAAATCAGCAGTTTCACTGCAAAATACTTCAAAGTGCAATGAGAGAAGGAAGTGATTGTCAGATAGCCACTCTTTATTCCTTCAGTGTGTAGTTCCCAAGGGTTTTTTTCAGCTTTATGTATATATGAGCTGCTTTCACATTCTTGTTCTGTGTAGCACCTGGAGCATTGTACTACTGTATATAGCAAGAATGAGCTTTTGTGATTATCAGCTGAGTGGATCAACATGATATGAGATGTTTTTCACTTACACTGTAATCACTTCAGAAGCATTTATTTGCATTACTTTTTTTGGTCTTTTTGAGACAGGGTCTCACTATGCAGTTCAAGTTGTTCTTGAACTCAATTTGTAACCCAGGCTGGCCTCGAACTCGCAACATCATGCTGCCTCAGCCAGCCAAGTCTGAGTGCTGGAATTACAGGCGTGCGCCACCATGACCGGCTCTGCTGTATTACTTTTAATGGCAGAGTATTTCTGTTACTAAAAGAAACAGGACTGGAGATAAAGCTCAGCGGCACAGCGCCTGCCTGGCAAGTGCAAGGTCCTGAGTTCGATTCCCCATACCAAAAAAAAAAAAAAAGAAAAAACAGAAACATAATATTTTGTAGTTGGAAAGAAGCCTAAAAAAACATACATAGAACACCTTCCATTAAGCCACATGGGCATAGCAATTGTCCTTGAACTTGGGCCTTTTCTCTTTGCAGCCTTTGTATTTTGCAGGATTGCCATAATATGCATGAAAACTGTAGTAGCCTCTTTAATATGCTGTGTGAGTGTTCATAGATGGTAGCAATACATGGTATTTGTACATAGCAGTAGCTGTTCTAAATGGTGTCACTCTAAGTACCCGTATTTGCTGACTCTTGTCAGACTGTGCTTTTGGAAGTGCCGGTGTTTCGAGGACCTGCTTCTACAGCGTCTCTCTCTGCACCGTCAGGGAAGAATGAAAAGGAACTGCCACCAAATCCCAAGAGACAAAGTCCACCAAAAAGTAAGGTTTCAGTAGTGGTCATGAGGGGCAGAGAACGCGAAGAGTTTAACCTCCTAAGCGTGAAAGTGGGTTTTACCACCTGCGTAATGTCTGGTTCTTCATCTTTGCGGTGTCATGATCCTGGTGAGACATGAGATGGGAGGCAGATTTTAGACCAAACATGCTGCAGATGTCATAGTTCCTGACTTACATTAGCCCCAAACCGGTCCTTCTAGTGTTTTCTAGGTGCCAGGCCGACATGGAGCCAGTGACCCTGAGTGAGTGCCGTGTGCATTCCTGGCCTTCCCAGACCCCTCGCCCGTGTGAGGCAGTGGGACTGCTCTGATGCTGGCCTTCGTCCTCTCTTTGAGCTGCATCTGTGGTCTCCCTGGCTTGCTCCGTCCGTCCAAGACTCCAGGCATTGTTTTAGGACTGTGGAGAGAGTAAAAAGCGGAGGGATTTTCCACTGTGACTCATTCTGCTGATGCATGGTGTCTGATCTGTTTCCAGCTCTTTACACAATCATTTTGACTTTTGTCCCCTCCCTGAGTGTGAGAGTAAGCATGACCTCATTGCAGGAAAAGAGGACATGGGACAGAATATTTTAAATGCTTCTCTCCTGGGAATGATTTTATTTTCTACTCCTCGGTCATTACTGATCATTGATTGTGTTCTGGGCCCCTTGCCGCTGCTCAGTACGGTAACGGTTGGTACGTGCGCCCACTTAGTTTAGAGACTCAGCAGGGGGCAGGGGCCTCACTTTGTGAGCACCCTCATCCTGTGCAAGAGGAGGGCCTCTCCTGGGCAGGGGCAGTCTGCTTACAGTATAAGGGAGGAAAAGAGCTGGCTTTCACCCCTCCCTTTTGCTCTTGTTGCTTTTGCTGTCTTCTGCCACCTTGAAGCGTTGCCCCTGTGCTGTGCCAGGCTGCCTTGGAGCCAGCTGATTATGGACTGACACCCTCACAGACTGTGAGCTGAATAAACCTTTCCTTCCTTAATGTGGGCGTCAGGCATGTTTCTCCGCAGTGGGAGAAAAGTAAGACAAGTACTTACTGTCTGTGAAAATGCGTGTTTTGCACACCAGTGTCAAGATGTGGACTGAGGGATTTCTGTGCAGCTCTTTAATGAGTATGTTGAGAAGCCAAAGTTAATTTTCCAGTTCAAGTCCCACTTCAGATTTAAAAGTGAGGAATGTCTGGAAAAGAGATTGGCTGTATTTCACAGCAGCCACCGCACCGGGTGCCATGTGAACACTTCCTGTGTGTTAGCGTCTGCAGATTGAGCCTGGGAGTCGACTTTGCTCTTATCCCTGTGGTGTAAACTCAGGCTGAGGTGGCCCACAGGTGGCAGCAGGGAATCTGGCTTTGAATCCAGGCATTTCAGCCACAGCCCATGTTTAAATCACTGCACCATCTTGCCTCTGAGAAAGCAGTTCTTGTGCATTCATTTAAAAACAAAAAGACAGTCAAGCACCATATAATTACTCTGTAAAATATGAGTATCTTTCTCTTTGTGTCACCTTTGTGCTTTGATCCCTAAATTCGTTTTATGACATTACCAAAATAAGGAAGTGTTTTTTGTTCTTTGTTTTTTTTTTTTAAAGAGTAAGGAAGCCGGGCGTGGTGGTGCATGCCTGTAATCCCAACACTCGGGAGACTGAGGCAGGAGGATCCTTGCAAGTTCAAGATCAGCCTCACAAAGTGAGCTCAAGGCCAGCCTGAACTGCATAACAAGACCCTGTCTCAAAAAGACAAAAAAATAAAAAAATAAAAATAAAAATAAATAAAAGAGTAAGGAAGTATTTTTAAGGCATTTCAACTGCCACGGTCATTTTTGCTCTTGCAAAATCTTGAAGATCATGCAAAAAGCCAAGCTGGAAAGAATTGGGAAATGTAAGTTCTGCTCTGAGAGGAGACAGAGGCAGTAAGGAGCGCTCATGTTCAGAGACCTTTCTTTCACATGGGGTATGGGCCCAGGTGAGGGCTGGGATCCCCCGAAAGTCAGTCACATAGTGAGGGAGGCCTGCATGGCAACCAGTGTGATGACAGCTGCTAGGTGTCCTGTGGCCTGGTCTCTCGGGGAAAGCAGTGTCAAGCTGAAACACCGTCAGAATATCACATCCTGGCTCTAGAGTTGGATCGAACCAGCAGCTGAGTGACGCACTGCACTCAGAGGGAGGGTGCTTTTTCCTTTAGTGCAGTGCTACCTGTTGGGTGCTGTCACTTCTGTATCGTTGGGTGCAGACTTGGTGTGGATGCCCGGTTAGCGGTGGTACTGGTTAGCGGTGGCAGCTGCAGATCAGGCCAGCAGGCTTCTCTCTGAGCCACAAAGGGGCAGAGCGGCAGAAGCAGGTTTGCGCTCAGCTGTTAGCCCTTCGGGCTTCCGCCGGTACCCAGCATAAACACAGGAAACTTTAAAGCCTTCTTATTTATAGGATATGTCATTTCCTTTCCAAACAAAATTTGTAACTTACATCATTGTTAATCACCGCTGAAATGTTCTTTCCATTTTCCATCCCAAGTGCTGCAAAAATAATTATTATAAATAAAAACTGAACAAATTTTGAAAGATTCAGTTCTTATCATTTTTCTGTCCAAAGTAGGCCCTGTAAGATAGCCTTATGTTAAAGTGAATTTTTCCTCCATGGAGGATCTGTGCCAGAAATAAAGGTAGGACATTGATGGATGGGCTGGCAGGGTTTGAAGGCCAGTGAGGCTTCTGCTGGCTGTTAGGCATTTCTGAGCTGTGCGGCTGCTGGTCAGGGACGGAGACCAGCATCCGCGCCCCCTGTGCCCTGTCTCCCATTCACTGTGCCTGGGAGCAATGGGTGCACGTCAGCCCCTGCCCTTGGCCGCCGAGTGCAGGCTCCAGGCCAAGATTCAGCCATGGCGGTGGTGTGGTCAGAAGAGTGGTTTCCCCAGTCACCTGCTTCTGAGGCTCCTTGGTCATTGCTTCTTGCAGTGTGTGTCCCTCCTCCGGCTGCTTCCAATGAGCTGGTTCTGCTCAATTTTCTTTAGCCACAACTTCTCAGTAGTCGCTTGCTCGTGGGTCCCTAGTCTCAGAGAGCACTTAGGGTCCTTCATGGGGCTGTGGGCTAGGGGTGGGAAGACAAGCGTTGCCTCAGGCAAGGAGAGTGGGATGTTCTGTGTAGCATCTGTTTGTTACATTTTTCTTTCAGCTTTTTGCTTTAGGTTTGAAATGTTGAATTTATTTAAAAAAAAAAAAAAACTTTCCTATTTTTCTCCTAATGTTAGAAAAGATTATTACCACCTAAGAAAATGTAATGAGCCGGGTGTGGTGGTGCACGCCTGTAATCCCAGCACTCGGGAGGCTGAGGCAGGAGGATCGTTGCAAGTTTGAGACCAGCCTGGGCTACAAAGTGGGCTCAAGGCCGGCCTGAACTGCATAGTGAGACCCTGCCTCAAAAAGACCAAAAAATAAAATAAAATAAAATGAAATTTTCAGCTACAAAGGAAAGTATCTGTGCTTCTCACTGTCGTCCCACCCGTGTGGTGTGGCACTTGCCTGGGAGAGGTTTCCTGGGGGCCTGTGTTAGGTTTCTTATTTTGAAGATGTTGTAAATAATACATTGGTATGCCGTGACGTGTCTGATGATTTGAAGTTGTCTTATGAAGTATTGCAAATAATGTTGCTCTTTGTGCCATTTCCCAGATGTAGAGGAACCACAGGAGAGGGCCAAGCTACTAGCCACCCACCCTGCAGCTGCGGCACCCCCCAGCTCGTCTCTGCCAGCCTCCTCCCCAGCCGCTGGGAGCAGAAGCAGGGCGGTGGCCGGCGCGCAGCCTGGTGGCCGCAAGCTGCTCACGGAGGAGGGGCTCCCAAAAGCTCTGCCCAGAAAGACTTTGGTAGCGTTTCCACACAAGGCTCCAGCTCCGTTCAGGGTGCAGGGTAGGGGCACAGTGGCTCACCCGGATGCCCCCAAGGCGACAGACGATTCATCCACATCCTCATCGTCCTCCTCATCCAGCTCCTCAGACTCTGAGTCTGATGAGGAGAGGGACATCCCGGAAGCTGGTCCCCGAGTGGGGAGCAAAGGCCGGGGAGGGTCTCCCAGACCAGAGGCCACCCAGCGCTCTGAGAACAGAACCCCCACAGTGGCAGTGTCCGCAAAAGAGAAGAGCGAGGTACAGAAGCCACACACAGATGTCTCCTACTCAAAGAGGGCCTCTCAACCAAAGAAGAAAAGCAGCCCTGCCAAGCCTGTACAGGGCAGAGAAGAGGCCGCACCGGAAGGCGTGATACCCAGATCCCAAATCCGGGGAGAGGTCTTGAAGCAGAGTGCAAAGGAAGAGCAGTCGCAGAAAACTTGCAGGCCGGATGAGCTGGCGAAAGCGAGCCGGCAGCCCCTAGGAGTGGAAGGAATCTCACCTGACCATGCAAAGGCCAGGTTGTCCACACGGCTGGGAGGCAGCTTGTCCTCCACACCGGGGACCCAGGAGGCCGCCCGCCGTGGGCCCCAAGAACCAGAGCCTGGAGTAAAGCTGGCTCCTCCCCAGGTCCACGAGGAAATGGCTGGGCAGCAGGTAGGAGGAGGACGCTCAGAGGCCCCGGAGGAGATCCTGGAAGATCAGGCGACTGTGAGAAGCCAGCAGCCAGCCCCTGTGCAGGCGGAGGAGGTGCAGACAGCAGGCCTGAAGCCCAGGGAGGGCGCAGCCCCGCCCCCAGAGGTCCTGGGTGACACACAGGGTACATCTTGCCTTGGTCCCACTCCTTCTGTCTTGGGGTAGCACCTAGGCCCTAAGAACCTCTGAGTTTCTTTGTGCTCAGAAAGAAGCGTAACTAACCAGGTTGTAGATGGGAGCCAGCTTCTAAGGCTGTCCCAGCTGAACAGAGGGTACCTCTGTTATGACGGGACACATCTGTACCTGCACAACCCTAAAATAGTCTCAGCTTCATTTGGAATGAAAGCATATACCCTTGGCCCACTTGACCACTCTTAACCAGTATAATTCTCAAGGGTTTTTGTTTGTTTTGGTTTTTTGTGACAGGGTCTCACTATGTAGTTCAGGCTGGTCTTGAACTCACTATGTAGCCCAAGCTGGCCTTGAACTCGCAGCGATCCTCCTGTCTCAGCCTCCCAAGTGCTGGGATTACAGGTGTGCACCACTATGCCTGGCTTAGTATCATTTTTAGAAACTGGCAGTTTAACATCACCACTGTGCACCGTTTTGGCTGCCCATGTATTTGCAGAGAAGGGGGAGGCCCCTGTCTAGCCACGGGTGAGGCTCAGCCTGCAAGGGCGACCCTTGGGTGACCACTCTTAGCATCTTTGTCTGGGAGCAAAAGTCCACGAGGTGGGGACTAAAGCAGTGAGTTCCTCACAGAGGCAGTCAACACTTCTTCCTCTGCTTTACCTGGAAAACAGTGGGCAGCTGTATTTTTCAAGAGTGAATTTTGCCAAAGGGCCTTTTATCCCTGGTGCTCTAGCTGGGTTACAGTAAAATGTGAAGGAGAGGTCTTCAGTTTTAGAATCTGTGGCTCCTCCGTACCTCTTTTAAACATATCACTCACAAAGCCTTCTCCCTGTGCCTGCTCTTCATTCTTTTGTTTGTCGTTTTTAAAAGACAGGGACTTGGCTCTAACTCAAGATCCTCCTGCCTCAGCCTCTCAAGTGCTAGGATGCGGAGTACACCACTACACCTGGCTTTTTCGTTCTTTCTGAAGCCTCCTTTCAGCCTAATTTGCATTAATCAATGCATTGATTGTTGTTCTGGTCACAGGATGTCGAAGAATTTGTGTGCTGTCTTCTCTTGCCATGTGCTCCCTCTTTCATTAATATGCAAAATGGCCAGACTCCCCTGGACCTGCCCTCCTCCATGCTGATCTCTGCCCTTCTCTCAAGTGGGCAGGCGTGCCAGAGCCCTCAGGATAAAAGCATGGGACTTGAGACTCAGCTCACAGCCTGAAGAAAGAGACACACAAGGTTGGGGAGGAGCTGAGTGTGAGCAGGGCCCTGGGTTCCATCCCCAGCCTGCTTTGGCTTTCAAATGCTGGTTTCGCCCTAGAAGGCTGGAGAAGACCGGTGGTGCAGCCTGTCTGTGGCGGGGGCCGGCCTGGAGGTGGTGGCTCTCGGGAGGTAACCCCCACCCGGGCACCCCTGCCCTCCAGGCAGGCTGGGGTTTGATCCACGTGTGACATTCCTCTGCCTTGGTTCCCACCTTCCCCGTGCCAGCTGCAGGCACACAGCCCACTCTGAAGGTGCCTGCACCACGCTGAGGGCTTCGCTCGATAGGGTTGGCAAGACATCTCGGTTTCTGTTATTTGGTCACGTAGGAGCTACAGAGCTGCTAGTGTGGATGGGGAGGGTGGAGGTGTGCTGCAGTTACTTCTGTGAGGATGAGGCGGCATTGGGACGGCCCCGAGGAGCCAAGTCCAGGGGTTGGGGTCCGTGGGAACCTAAGCAGGCCGCAGCCTGCACCCCACATGCCTTCCTTGCTGCCTGTCATGTCGCCCGCCACACAGCAATATTCCTTTAGCTTTTTAAAGACTACCAGGTGCTTGGGTATGCAGCTTTTCATTTTTTTTTTTTCCATTGAAAGAAAAGCTTTCTGTCCATGAATCTGAAGATAGCAACAGTTTCTCCCAAAAAAAGTTAAAACAACCGAAACAATACATGCAATACATCTCGTTTCTGGCCGCCCTTAACTGTGTTGGCCTTACTGGTCGGGATTTGTCTAGTTTTCTGGTGTTGGAGACTCCGGAGGCTGGCTTACTTCCTGCTTTAGGAACTGCTCTTCTGCAAATGGCTTGTCTCTGGCGTGGGCACAGGTCAGAGATCATGCTACCTGTGAATCTCTGTGGCCTGAAAGGCCTTTCGTGACAGTTCTAGGTGTTTTCAGACTTGGAGCAGAGCCTCGTGGTCCACTCCAGTAGGAGCTGGGTAAACTGGACCTGGCAGTGGCAGGGTTAGGGCTGGGGGAACTTTCCTCAGAGTCCTAGACAGCCTTGCCCCGGGCAGTTGAGCAGTAACTTACTTTTTTTTTTTTTGGTCCCGGGAATCGAACTCCCAGCCTTGTGCTTGCCAGGCAGGTGCTTGTGCCACTGAACTATATCCCCAGCCCAACTTACTTTGTCCTTAAGGCCATAAATTTGGAGTAAGGTTTCAGCTAATGCCTTTGTTTTGCTCTTGCAGCTGTGGCGGCCTTCCTGGGCTTTCCTTCCTTGTTAGGTGGGCCAGAGGTGGCAGGCAGGGTGTGGGGACTGCTGGGGAGGGGACCGGTCTGCACAGGTCTCTGAAAGAGCCTTCTCTGTCACTGTCCCCTCTGCAGAGTCCACCCCAGCCCCTGCGCCCACCGAGCCCTATGATAACACCACCTACAAGAACCTGCAGCACCACGACTACAGCACGTACACCTTCCTGGACCTGAACCTGGACCTCTCGAAATTCAGGCAGCCCCAGCCCTCGTCCGGACGCGAGTCCCCGCGGCACTGAACGGCCTCAGCTTCTCCCTGCCCTGTCCTTGATCCAGGCCAGGCGTGGTGGGCAGGTCTGTAATCCCGGTACTCAGGAGGCTGAGATGGGAGGATCACCCTGAGTTCTAGGGCAACATAGTGGGCTCAAGGCCAGCCTGACTACATAGTGAGACCCTGCCTCAACAAACCTAAAAAATAAAATTGTTCCCGAGTCCAACCTGTGTCATTGGCTTCCCTCTCACACCCTCCTGGCAAGCGGTGAATTTGTATCTGCTGAGCACGGGTCCGTGTATAGTGTACACTTAGGACACCTGTGTGTGCAAGGAGCCACCTTTGATGAAGGTGGCCAGCAGGGCAAGTCCTTGACCTTAGTGTTACGAGAAAGGCCTCCAGCAGGGGAGGTTCTTGGTGTCTTGGAGAGGACAGATGAAGGTTTTGTACCTTGGAGGACTGCTGTGTCCTCGGGGCCTGGGCTGGCTTCTGGCTGGCCAAGGAGCGTCGCCACTGGCAGAAACCTGACTGCTCGAGGGGCCATGGGTGCTCCTGTGTGGGTCACCTGGAACCTTGGCGGCCAGCACCTGTGGAGACCAGTGTAGGCGAGAGCCAGGAGAGACGCGGGTCCGTGTCACCAGGAGCAGAGCCAGGACCTGAAGGGGAGTGTGAAGTCCATCCGCACACGTGTTCTGCTTTGCTTGCCCTCACAACCTCATTTGGGGCTGTACTCGGGGTTTCCCTTCATTCGCATTCTGGTCTGTGGCTCCCTTCCGCCCCCGGCCAACTCAGGGCAGCACATTCAGGAGTTGGGGTTCGCCCTTCTGTGACCATGGACTGAAGCTTAGCTTAGAATACCAAATGGAAAACCACACTGCACACCAGCCCAAATCACCAGCCTCCGTTCTATAACCACCCAGGAGGCTTAGCAACTCAGCAAGACCCTTCTGATCACGGTTTTTAGTGTGAAAGCCATAAAACCACATTACCAAAAAGAAGGGAAGCAGAGCAGTGCGATTCCTGGAAGCCCGCTGTGCTCGCCAGCGTCACAGCACTGCCCACCCCTCCCTGGCAGCAGCCGTGGGCAGACGGGACGCGTGCTGTAGGTGGTGCGCGCCCGGCACTGTGGCTCGCATTTGCTTTCTTTGCACGGCTGGCTTCTGAGATCTGGGGAGTTCTCGCGGGCTGTGGCAGCCGCAGGGTTGAGATGAGTAGGAACAGATTCAATTTACACAGGTTTTAGAGACTGGTGGAGACCACTGTGAAGCGGCTCTGAGCAGGATTCAAACGAACCATTTGGCTTTCCGTGTTTACTTGTGAGTCACTGGTCCCAGCTGAGGCCTGGGATGGCAGGTAAAGCTGGGACGCCTCAAAGGACTAGACAAGTCCACAGCTAAGGAGGGCTGGCTGCAACCTGAACTAGACAAAGACTAGCTGCAGGCATCTCACTCCTGGGTGGAGGCCGTCCTGGAGGTAACATAGTGCTCCCAAATTAACATAGTGTCTCACTTGGAGAAGCCCTTGAGCACACTTCCAAGGTCCTTAACGGCCCTGCCATTCAAGGCAGAGTCCCGCCTTCTTCAGTACTCCCCCCCCTACTTTTGATAACTAAATAAATATGGGCCGCCTAGAGTTCTTTCTCAAGCCCCAGAAAATTTTGAATTCTGTGAGAGGGTTTTTGATTCTCCTGGAGCCCTGAAACCTTTTCATTTGTCTCATTTATTTAAGCCCGCGCCATCCACTTGTTTGGGAGATTGCGGGCCTGATCAGTCAGCAGTTACTAGGGGGTAATATTAACGCGATAAGAGATGAAGCCTGAGGCCTGCACTGTCTTGGAGCAGGCGCTCTGGGCCGGCCTGGGCCTCCCCCGTGTCGGCTTGCTCTCCTGCTGTCGTTTCCTCACGATAGATTCCAAAAACTGATCCAGCGAAGCACAGTGTGAATGTTGGCATTGCTTTCACTCTGCTGGGTTTTTAAACCCGCGTAGTCCATGACGAAGGCAGGCCATTGTTTACCTCTTTGTATCCTTTTTCTGTCACCTGACCCTGGGCATCTTTAGGCGTCGGCCCTCGTCCCCTGTGCAGATAGCTCTTTGGGCAGGGGCAGGTAGTGTGCAGGTTGCCGCAGTGATTCCTCCCTGATGTATCCAGGTGGCTGGAGAATCCCAGTGGGTGGGCAGCCTTTCAGATTGTGCTGCAAGCACGGGCTCTGTGTTTTCGTTTTGTTTGTTTTTGAGGCAGGGTCTTGCTGTCTAATTGAGACTGGACTCGAACTCACTATATAACCCAGGCTGGCCTCAAACTCACAGTGACCCTCCTACCTCAGCCTCACAGCTTTGTGTTTACAGATGTGTAGTCTCTGCCTGTCTCCTGATTCCAAAGCTAGGCAAGCGTTGAATCTCAGTGCTTCCAGGGAGTCCAGCCTGGCCCGTGCCTCGCAGACGGCAGCAAGCCTGCAAGATGCTTCTGACGCCACAGAGCCTGTTCCCCACTGAGGTGTGTGAGAAAGCTGGGCTGACGGGGTCTGAGAGAGCAGGGGCTGCTAACTGTCTGCTACAGGCTGCGTAGGAAATGTTCCAGCCCTGCAAGCATTGAGCCGCCTCTGCTATGCAGTCCTATCTCTTCATAACCCTTTCAGAGCGTGAGAGCATCCTCAGCTACACGAAGGAAGCGTGTGCGCGGCTTGTTTGAACCTGGGGTTTGTGTCAGAAGAGCTGTGGTGGAGCTGTTCCTCAGACAAAGGAATAATGTAGAATATACAAAACTTTCCAGCCAGGGGTGGTAGTACACGCCTGTAATCCCAGCACTTGGGAGGCTGAGGCAGGACTGTTGCAAGTTTGAGACCAGCCTGGGCTACAAAGTGAGCGCAAGGCCAGCCTGAACTGCATAGCAAGACCCTGTCTCAAAAACACAATACACGCACACACACACAAAATAAATAAATAAACCTTTTGAAAATTTAGATCCAGGGCCTAAGATGTAGCTCAATGGTACAAGTGCCTGCCTGGCACGATCAAGGTCCTGAATTCAATTCCCAGTACCCACAAAAAAAAAAAAAAGAAAGAAGAAAAAATTTAGATCCAAAATAAAAGGCCCAGCTGGGCATGGTGGCACACGCCTGTAATCCCAGCACTCAGGAGGCTGAGGCAGGAGGATCATTGCAAGTTCAAGGCCAGCCTGGGCTACAAAGTGAGCTCAAGATCAGCCTGAACTACATAGCGAGACCCTGTCTCAAAAAGACCGACTAAATAAATAAATAAATAAAAAATAAAAGGCCCAATCAAAACATGGGCAAGAGAAATGAACAGACATTTCTTAGAAGAGCTACAAGTCAGCACTGTGTCTCAAAACACAAAACAAACACAAATGAGTGGATAAAGAGTGGTGTACAATGGCACTGTACTCTGCCACAAAGATAAACTGGAGTCACTGTGGGAAAATGGGTACACCCAGGACCATAATGTTAGGTGAAATAAATCAGACACATAAGCTTAAATATCACATGGTTTCTTTTATCTGAGAAACCCAAGGTGTAAATGCAGAGCAAAATAAAAGGTAAAAGGAAGCCAGGCGTGGTGGCGCATGCCTGTAATACCAGCACTCGGGAGGCTGAGGCAAGAGGATCACTGTGAGTTTGAGGCCAGCCTGGCCTACAAAGTGAGCTCAAGGCCAGCCTGAACTGCAGAGCGAGACTCTGTCTCAAAAAGGCGGAAAGAAAAAGAAGAGGAAGTAGGGAGCTAGATCGTTTGCAAAAGCAAAGGGGACCGAGAGATGGAGAGAGGAGAGGGGAAGGGAAGGGAACGTAAACGGGACTAAGATGTGTCCGTGCAGCAGCTCCCCACAATGAATGCAAACATGAACTTGTAAAAATTAAAATTAAAGGGGCTTGGGGTTTAGCTCAGCAGCACAGCTGCTGCCTGGCAAGCGCAAGGTCGTGAGTTCAATTCCTGGTTCTGGAAAAAAAAAAAAATTAAGGCCGGGCACAGTGGCGCACGCCTGTAATCCCAGCCCTTGGGAGGCTGAGGCAGGGGGATCATTGTGAGTTTGAGGCCAGCCTAGGCTACAAAGTAAGCTCAAGGCCTGAACTGCACAGCGAGACCTTGTCTCAAAAAA